CACAAAAGCAAGCAAAAAGTTTCAATAGTTGTTACAACCAGGAGAAGTTACATGCTATCTAGGGCAACTAGATAAGATTAAGGATGCTGACAATTAAGTTAGATTCAAAATGCATCACAGTAAGAGACAGAAAAAGGTAAAAGGTAAGCAACTTAGAATAGTTCCTGTCATTTTAGAAACCCTGTCAAGTTAAACAGATTCATGAGATTTGAAGAACCCTGCTGGAGAAAACAGACTGACAAAGAGAAGGGGTGGGGTAAAGAAGGTGTCCTACAACATTTTATTTAAGGGGTATGTCATCTAAATGGAGGATGTCTTTTTATCTGCTTCCTCTCACATGTGAACACACAGAACTTTTCCTTCTCAGCCAAGCGACTCACAAATTCCCCAGTGAAACCTAAGAATTACAGGCATGGAACATAACTGTCCTCAGAGAGAAGAGACAGCATTTAAATATGCATTTAAGCACATACACATAGCAGATGCATAAGAAAGAATATCCAAACTGGGTAAGTATTTAGCAGTATTTCCACAGTAATTTAAGTTTGCTTGCCTCTAGCAATTTGCAGTTCAGAGACTGAAGCAGATGACGTAATTGTGTTTAATGACCTTTGATAGATTTTTTTCCCTCCATAAGTTTGTCCAAACACTTTCTGAAACTAATTAAACTTGTCATCAACAAATCTGGGGTAAGAAGTTCCACAGCTTAAGTACGTGCTGTTGGAGCAGTACCAGCTCTAACTTTCAGGGTTTCTTATGTCATCTGATTTGATGCCCTCAGGTTTTGTACCGGAAAGAGGCAATGAGAGGTCTATCTCGACCTTTTCCACAGCTCACTTGAACTTAGAGACCTTACTGTACTTTTGTCTCTTTCAGACTGAAGAATCCTATTTAATCATTCATCATCTGAAAACTGTTTCATACCTTTGGATGATCCTTGTCTGAACATTATATTGACTTTTTTGATCCTCTAATTGGCTTCTTACAATTCTATAACCCTTCTGAGAAGGCAGATCAGAATTGTATAACATTTAAAATGCAAGCGCATTACAGATCTATGCAATGGCACAATGACATTTTCTTTTGTTTTTTATTCATTTCCTAATAATCCTTAGCTTTTTTATTTGTTGCTCACACTATGACTAAGCATTAAAGAAATTATTATTTTTTTTTTTTTGCAAGAACTCCTTAAGTTTCACCTCTGAGAGGTGACAACTGCATTTTATTGCCCAGACAGTGACCTATGGTCCTTCTGTAACAGTCTGCGCTGACCCTCTAAACATCAGCATCAGTGAGGTAAATAGGATTTGGAGTACATACTCAGAATAAGACCTTTAAGCGCTATCATAAAGCACATGGTTGCTTAGACCGAGCTACTCCAGAAAACAATTTGTGAGTGGCAGAATTAATTACTAAAATTAGCAACTTAAACAGCAAGGTTTAATGAGCATTAATAACTGCACCTCTTTGTCTGCTTGGCCATCGCCCCCATACTTCAAGCACTTTCTATGGAGAGCAATTTATTTTCTCAGAAGTTCCAGCAGTAACCACAAGCAACACCTTTTGATTCTTTCACACTGTGAAGATGAAAAAAGGGTAATACCCTATCTATTCCAGTACTACTGTATCTTTAAGAAAAAGGAGTCAATAAAAGGCTTAGATGAAGAGACAGTGACAAAAATCCATCCTCCTCTTCCTGCAAATCCAACTTTCCCCAGAATTTTACTCTGGTTATCTTTTTCCAAGGCTCACAAAACCCACATTCTGAAAGATGAATTCTGTCCCTCTATTTTGCTGGTCAGTGCGACAGGGTAACAGAGTGAGACCTGACACCAGCCCCTCTTTCTTCCCATCTGTAGGGGTGGAAACACCATGCTGGGATAAAAGCTAGAGGTTGTGAAAAAGAAGAGCAGAACCCAGCTGGTGCACAATTACTACAAAATTTTAGAGCCAGCATTGCTATTATAGTCTTAGTATGCTTTCCATCTCAATCTGCTAACATCTACAAAGATGCCTCTTGCATCCCTTCCATAACACTCTATAGAAGACACTTCTTCCACATTTACAAGTACAGGAAAGCACTCAAATACTCCATCCAGCACCGAACAGTAAAAAGGGCTTGAATTCAGGAATATACTGGAACAGATGGGGGTGGGGCAGGGGCTGAGAGGAAGAAAAGTTTCAGTTCCATTAAAATGTACTACAAACAGTGTAAGTTACAACTGTACCATATCCCTTGACTGAAGATAAAATAAAGCTGTCTCTAAAACATGTATTTTAAGGTGACCCATCAGGAAAATCTTAATGAAAAATCCTAACAATTAGAACTATTGTTACTACCTTTGTTTTCTAAGTTGCATATCTTCCATCACTCCTTGGATGTGGTCCACATTTTCTTTGTTTTCAATGGTCACATCTTTTCCATAGGCCCATGATGCCTGATTAGATATCTGATCGAGAAGACTTTGACCTTTCTCACGCAAGCCTTGCAAGCCTAAGTCTAAAGCAAATGGGAAAGGAAAAAAAAAAAAAAGGTACTCTGATAAATTTGTTTCCTCTCCCCAAGAACAGATATGAAATACAAAAGAAACTCTGAATAAAAGGGTGGAGAGAGGGAATAGACATTACTATTTCCATCTTCCTCTGCCCCTTCTATCCCTTCCCTTTTTTTTTTTTTTAATTAAAGTTTGAGGGAGCTTTCATCAATATTAACGAAGAGCTAAGGATACAGGCTTTGCTATTTTATGATCTAGCAGTTAAAAGGGAAGGAAGAAAAGGAATAAGAGTCGACAGTCAGTGTTAACTTTTTAGCATATAAATAGCTAATTAAAGTCTTTCATCCACACAGTTGCATAATACTTAAAATGTGTATCATTAGGTAGTTGCAGCCTAAATATTTTTTCATGGCAGAAGTTAGTATTTTACGATACATCCGATATGGCTGACACATTTTTCTACACCAATATGTCAACCCTTAGAATCTGCTCTAGAATCTATTATCTGGCAGGTCTGCTATCTGTTCTCCTGAAGGAATATCTAGCTTACGCAGTATTATATTCTGAGTATAATTACTTCAACCATATATGTTTTTACTTCATAGCCCCTTCTCCTACAGGATACACATGACAATATAACAACCTTAAGTATTACTTTTATTAAAACATACATTCAGAACTACTGCAAAATATTCCATATAAGCATTCTAAAACTGAACAGATGATTGTCTTATTCATTGTCCAAGGATGATTAGTTGGGAGTGAGGGTGGAAGGGTGGGGAAAAAATAAAGGTTTGTTTACAAATGCAAAGTCTGGTAACTATATGCAACAAATGCTTATATTACATGTAAAACCTTTAAAAGACAACACTTCCAGAACATTTCCCCAGATTATAAACATAAGCAAGTCAGAGATAGTTAGGTGGGGCATTACTAGAGGTAAGACATTACTTTTCCCACTCTTCTTTTTTAGTGAGGTGGAAACAAAATTTTGTTTTCCTATAATGCGTTTATTAGAATGTATATATCTGAAATGCAGAAATATTTTGCTTACCAACACTTTTCAACTTCTCTTCCAGCAGTTTTAGAGTTTGTTGAACTGAAGCCCCATCTGCTGGTGCTACATCTACACACAACATTCCTAGTAAGCCATCCAATTGCTGAGACAACTAAAATGAAAAACAACACACATTTGGATTTTTTTTTTTTTTTAACTGCCATCATTCTTTAATTAGTTCGTTCTAATTGCTTTAAGAATTTAAACGGTAAAGATCCTGTCCTGGTTTTACCTACTTCTGCATAAACAAGGAGTATTGTCAAGATCGTTCCCCCCACACCAAATCACAAGGTTAGTTAAATACTGACACTTAAAAAGAAGTTTTGAGCTTCAGAGGCTTGGCTTTGCATTCTGTCTACCTGTTTGGGAATCTCTCATTTTCAAGTTGCTCTTTGCATCTATAGCAACCAGAAAGTCAAGATGAAAGATAAACGGCCCATCTGCTTATATGATTCCAAGTACAGCTATCCCTAGAGAAAAAAAACTAACCAGCCAAAATTGTTTAGATAAGTACAAGAATAAATGTCAATATTAAAAAGCTATGAAGAGTGCATCATCTTGTGGGACAGTCAATGCGTATGCCTCTAATAAAAAAGGACAGAAGAAAGCAAATTTTTTCTAGTAAACTTTTCAGTTCAAATACTATTGAAATGTAAGAGGTATTACAATGTATTTCCCACCTACAAAAGGAAAAATCCATCCTCACAGAGCTTCAGTCATGGTACATGAAGACTTTCTGCATTTCCCAAAGGACATTATTATTTTGTCCAGATAATTCTTTTCCAGTATATTGAATACTTTTCATATTAAGGCAATAATACATCAAGGGGTGAGTTTGGAAAAAATTAAAAAGAAAAGCTTACATCTTGGGCAACACTATGGAACTCAAGTGCTGCTTGTAATAGATTCTGTCTGAATTCCAGCTGACTGGCCTGCCGGTAACACACATCACTCAGCTGCTGCTGCAGCGCTTTCAATTCTACAAGGTCCTCCTCATCCCCTGCATTTAGAAGAGCTGCAATCTGCTGATTAAGCTCAACATAAACAGCAAACCACTCCTAAAAACACAAGAAAATTAAGCTTTAAAATATTACCAAATGTAATTTTATTTTTCTTAAAATGGCATGCATCTAACTGCAGGCTAATAGACTATAAGAGGAACCTATTACAGCTTATACTGTAATTATGATATCTCACACAGAAGGGAGGAACTTTCCTCATTTCAGAGCAACTCAAAATATGCTTAGAACATCTCAGGTAATATACTAGTATAGAGGAAAACAGTGCAGAAAAGATGGGTAGATCACAAATTATAAAACAGAGCACGGCTACCAGCTTACAGTACAAACTCCCAATCAAACTATTTCATTGAATTAATATAAGAATTCCATCATTTTAAAAAACAAAAATCTAACATTTACATGTTGATACTGATCCACTGAAACAAAAGACAAAACCTTTTGTCAAATGATAAGCATTTACAAAAATGCCATTCATAAGACTGCTCAGTATTTTAAGTAAGGATAATGAAATCAGCAATAAATTTCAAACTATTTGGAAAAAAAGCACTACTGTCAAAGTGAAAGAAACAGCTATGTTCTCAATAATATAAGGCATCTATATACAGAAACTTACTTTTTAAATGAAATTTTTACTTCCTTGTTTCTTACTTAAGGAAAGCTTTATACTACTCATTTCAAAACAGGTAGATTTCATTTTCAAATATATTGAATACTAATAAACTCCAATGTTTGTTTTCAGTGTTGTCATGGTGGTGTATTACCAAAAGAAAATAGTTTGAATATTTAATAGCTCTTGGAGATTTAAAAGCTACTTGATACTTTAAGATCAAATTCACATCTTGCATGATTTATAAGCCTGTAAAGCAAAACATGTCTACTCAACAGCTTTTACTCTGGCCTAGGTTCAAGCGACCTTCAAATGCCCTATGCGTTTCTAATACGACTGAATAGCACCACCTATTGGCCTTATATATCTCAATTAGTAGTCTTGCCGCTTTTCAATTGGGATGTTTGCAAATTTTTTTAATTATGCCTTAAGTTTTGCATCATATTTACTTACAAAGCATGCAAAGTGTAGGATATAAATATGGATATTCTGAATTTTTTTCTGTTTACCCAAAACCTTCCCTACTGTCTGCTCACAGGAGAAATTGAGTGGGGCCAGGGGGAGGTTTATAAAAGAGTTAGATTAGCAATCAGTCAAGAATTTAAGAGCACAATAAATCTCTCATCTACCCCAACCAGGGCACCCTAAAGGGGAAAAAAAAACAAAAACACAACACATGCATTGTCACTCTTGTTCTATAGATCTATAGGTTAATTCAATGTACACAGCAGCAAGTAACTCCTGTTATTATCTTCAGACGCCGCACATAAAAACCAACCTTCCTGAGTGCGATAAATCAACTACAACAAAGAGTCCGAAGATAAAAAATTTCTCCATTTAGATTTATCATTAAAATAAACAATTGTAATAATTTCAGTGCTAGTTTACCCAAAACCAACTAAGAGACTGATAAACCAAATAGAAAATGTATACTTCTGACCCTTTCCTGCAGATAATGAGATGAAACTGTACTTCTAGTTAGACAAAGGTGTAAGTGACAGCTCAAAACCATGAGGAAAAGGCCAACATTTGCCCCAAAATAAAAGCTCTAGTATACAGACCCTGAATAAAACCAGAAGGAAAAAAAAACGCAATACCACCTTAAGAAAATTGTTTTTCATTTGTAAGTAAATTGAAAGAACAACAACAAAAACCCCAATCTTTAAAACAAAGTAAACATTTTTGGAGGCCTCTTCAAAATAAAAGTAATAAAAGCAACCATAAATGGGATATATGACGAAAGAAAGTAAACAAACTGTTAATTAAATTTTTAGTAGAGAAAAAGTAGGAAAATGGTAAAGGAGGAAGAAAAGACAACAGGTGCACTCAGCTTTGTACCTATTACAAGATGTTTAGAAACTAGGGAAAAAGGCAAAATATATTTATTTTGTGCTGTTTTCAAGAAATTTGTTATTTATAAATGAGGACTCTGAACTTAAGACCGGCCAGTGGTTTCCCAAATAGTTCATTTGGTTTATAAGTTAAAGATCAGTTTTTTGGCTGTTATTTCTACAAACTTGTAGCAGCACCTGAGAAACAAGCAGTGTTCTCTTTTGTCTGTGCTATATAAACAGCAGTACGGAAACTGCAGGCCAGCCTGCAAACTTCAGTGGGATCTCAGTGATTTCAGGGAAGACTGACTGTATGTAGCCTCAACTAAAGCATGTTCTCACTTGGATATCTTTAACTGTGAGAACTAAAGTATATGAAATCTTATTTTCCCCTTGTCAGTTTGAAATGCTAATGATGGAAAGGTAGTCAAAATTATTTTTGTCCAAAGTAGATAGAGGATTTTTTCTAATCCATTAGGATCCTAATTGAAAAATGCTTTCACTTCAGAAGATACTATCAGGAAAAGCTGGTTGAATTGTCAGTGTCTACATGCAGAAAGTCTGACAAGAGGAAGCATGCTGTAGGCAACCTTCCCTTTTAGAACACTGAGTATTCAAGTCTTGGCTATAATAAAGTATCTGACGGAAAGAGAAGATTCTACTAAATCTTAGAAAGTCTTCAGAATTAGAAGTAACAAAGGCATCAAGTCATACAGTTACAAATCACTCTCTTCAAAATTTCACTATGAATCTTACCTATATTTCAGATTTTGATCAATGAAAGCATTTACCAAGAGCTGAAACTGGATTAGTGTAGTTTAATAAAGACGAAACGTTAACTTATTCACTGGAGAAGTAAAGGACTTCTCAGGCATTTTGGTAGGGAGCGGAAAGAAAATTTACTCCTACTTAAAAGTGAAAATTTAAGAACTGCTATAATGCAACAAGAACAAGACAAATCCTAGATAAAAATCAGTATTTGTCTATACTGGAAAACAAAACAAATAAAATCAACATGTAATGAACATACTAACTTCTTAAACTGCTGATAGTCTTATCTCTAACCCATAAAAAACATACACTACCCCAAATTTCTAGATACTCATGACCAAAAACCATTGGTTGTAATTTCATGTACTCAGAACTATTTTGCTACTTGAAGAGGGTAGGGGAAGTCTCACACTGTGTTGACTCTCAATCTCTTCATGTTTCTGTTGCAAAGCCTGTGAAGCTCTAATTGAATCACCTATTCCCCACTGGGTTCTTAGCTGTTCTGATCCGGGTCCTTCAAGCCAATTGACTACCTGTCAATAACATAAAGGTGACAAAAAAAAATTAATTAAATGAAGTCTGGCATAAAATGAATTCTGAAACATAAGCAGACATATTTCAAAGAAAGTACACATTTATTACCCTTTTTTTTTTCTTTAGGATCTATGAAAGTCTTGTTGAATCCATTCACATTTTTCAAAAACTTTCAAAAGGTAGAAAGTACTTTTCATTACCTCAGCCTGTCTGTTCCATGAAAGCACGTGGCAGCTAGCAAAAGATTTGTCAAACAAATACTTGTCATTTCATATCTCTGTCAATGAACAAGATTAAAACACAACCGTCTTGATAATGGAGCTTATGTTCAAACAAACAATTTTTCTCCCCGTAAATGAATTACGATGCACATAGCAACAGTGAACTGTGGGATTCAATCTCACACTTGAGAGTCGTCTCCTCATTTCGTTGAGCGTGTTAACATACACATACAGGACATGTATGTTTTTCAAAATTAAATACTTGTGGTATTTGGTATATATATAGGCCTTGCAAATTGCTCCACTCATATACCAGAAGCCTCTTTCAGAGTCTTAACAGCAACTTTTCATGAGATCTGCCTTTGAGGAACTCTCCACAAGGTGACAGTTACAGTGTTTTAGACTACAGTCCCGGATTTACTTTTCTGGAGAATGAATAGGTCAATTTATGTTAAAATTATTCAAAGGAAAGCAGAGTTATCTCAAATTTGGTTTTCTTTATATAAACTGAATTATTAGATGATCCCCATGGCAAAACCTTATGATAAATCTCTAAACAGATCTAGAAGACAGAGGCAGTCCTGATGCAACCTAATGCAAAAGTCACTTCTCATTACTGCAGTCTTGAAGTAAAGAAATACAGGAATACCCCATATTCTGAATCTTAATAAAAAAGCAAATAAAACCGGCTTCTTCTCTTTAGTGTGACTTTTCTTTAAGCAAAGATGCCAAAATAGCTTCACGTATTTTTTTTTCTACTTGTCTTTACAGTTATTGTGTCACACAGTGTGTGTTTTACTTCCTGAAAAAATATGGACTAATGGGACCATTTTCTCAGTGCCGCTAGGCCACACTGCAACAGTAATCAAGAATGACCATCACCACTACAGGAAGTTTGCTCAGTTCGCGCCAACTTTTAGTCATCCTTTTCTGTGTCATATATTTTTTAAATGAAGCTCTATTTCAAAGCACATGCTTTGTTCCAAAAACATCCTGGGTTTTATTTACTTATATCATTTCTAGGGACCTCCAGTTGTCAAATTAGGACTCTGCTGTTCCAGAATAATCTTTTTGTTTTAAGACGAGCTCCCTGTTGCACTCACCATCCCTGCACAGCTGTCTCTCTGGTTAAACATGGAAGGCACCTAAAAGCAAAGCCACCAAGATGTCCCCTTGTAACCTCAGTGTGGCCTGGAAAACTCACATGTGGAAATCATGGTTCTGGTGAAAGTCTGGAACAGCGTGCAAGACTGTTGCTTAGCAGCCCCCTCTCCAACCAAGGCCACTGCCCCATTACAAGTTTCTAGCTACTACTGTATTGCCTCTGAAACTCAGCACGCGGCCTCCCTTGTGCCACCACAACAAATAATTGATCTGAGGAGAGAGAATCACTAAAGACGTAAAGAAGGAAGCAACGTTATTTTCATAAAAGAGCTTTTTTAAATGGTCATTGACTAGAGACAACTGCAAGGCTAGGCATATATTTTTGTGAATAGATTAGAAAAATAAACATTTCTACATAAGCTAAAATTTATCCTACTATACAGAACTGTCTATTAGCAGTCTGCTTAGCAAAACCGCTCATCGGAATACATCTGGAAATCATTGCCATCTTTACGCTGCAGAATGAGGGAGGAAGGGAAGGGAAATAAAATTATGGTATAAGAAAGAGGGGTGGTTTGAAAGAGACGGTAGGATACCGAAGATACAAGGGAAGAGAGGTGGTCATGCATGAGTGTTTTGAGCAGGGAGTAAGAACTAAGCAGTTCACAATAAGTTGAAAAACATCATAACGAAAATGAAACAGGACCACAAATAAAAGCCAACCAGAAGTGGCAAGCCATGTGAGAAGCAATAAAAAGAATGAAACAGGAATACAATTGTAACGAAAGATTATGTGAAATCAAATCATTAAAATCAATCAGCAATATGAGGGAATATGCTGTATGTACACACTCATTTCCACTTAATAGTGTTAAAGTATGTTATCCTGAAACTTCTGTTTGGTTTGGCAAAGTAAGTTTTAGAGCACTTTGCCTCTCAGTTTCCTTCATTATCTTCCTGTTTTTCTGTGTTAGCCCAGTTTCTCACACAAACCAACCAGAAACTAAATCAATTTTTAGATTTTAGTAAGTTTTTTCACATATTTGTATGCTACTTACAGATCTTTAAAAGGTACCTTATAAAACTCAACTCAGTAAAATAGCTAAGCACACTCCTCCTATGTGCTGAGACACAATTGTCTTACTATGCAGCATCTGCAGTGTAGACAGAGCAAAGTGATAACTACTTCTAACATAAATATTTCAAAAAATCAGGTTGCTGCCCTAGTAAACAAGTCTACTTAAATGCATTAACAATGGCTGTTTGCAAAACTCTGTCAAAAACCCATTTCCATCAGCACATCTTCTTCAAACTAAATAACTTTACCACAGGAAAAAAAAAAATTCTCATCACCTGATTATATCCATTGCCATGCTAATATGTTTTATGCAGTACTGTTTTCATCCTTTACATATTTTTATTGTTTTCAGCTCAAAATATCAAAACATGACATATGCATCCCTCCCCTTTTTTTAAAATATGAATGACCATAAGTGAAAAATGGTATCTCGGGACATTTATATTTTTATTGCTAGAAATAACAAGACCGATTAGTTTTTATATTTAGCCATACCTGGAATGCTGTGAAGTATAAATACTTGATTCTTTCCCCATGCATTAGAAAAGTCTATGTTTAAAGGTCTATTCTATTAAAGATTCTATTTTCTGCACATTCAAACTATTACAGAAGCTGAAAAACATATAAATCTAATTTCAAGTAATAAACATCAAAGAAATAAATTAATTCCGTTTCCTTGATTATTTCTATTGAGATTATGTCTGCGAAAATGCTGAAAGTGCCAATTACATGCCTATATCTAAAGGACCAAATCAATTCATTATGACCTTTAACACACAATTGATTAGAAAGGTTTGTAATCATTCTGGTCAGAGTAGCCTTGAAATCCAAAGATAGAGAGTTTAATCACTTTTGCTTCATTAAAACATCAAGTGTTAGACAAAAAGAAATAACTGATGGCTTATCTGCAGTAATGTGAACTTAAAACAACAGGAGCAGGGGAAGTTTTCCAACTCACAAGCTAAACCACAGTCAAACATGTCTCATTGGCTAACGCTCCTTTCTTTGCTAATAGGCCAGGTATTTGACCTGGTGACAGGGCAAGAATAGTTGTCAGGACAGTACGCAGCAAAGGGTCAACGCGAAGGTTCTTCAGAAACACTGTGGGGACAGGAGAACAACTCCATCTGAATCTGTATGCTAACCACCTCTACGTATCAGAGCATGGAGATTTTGGAAAGTTACTGCATGTAGCCACAACATAAAGCACCAAGTCAAAGCAGCGTTTCACAGTCTGAGGAGAGAAAGGAATCATAAAGAGTGGAATGAATATCTTCATCTCTGATTCTTAGTTTTGTAGGAAATAACAGCCTGGGACACAAACTCAAACCTCCATCGCATAATATCAAGAAAAACTTTATGCTTACCTGCATCACTTTCTGCTGAATCTCCTCTAGTTGTGTTCGCTTGCTACGCTGTCTACAAACTTCCTGGTAGCGGGTATATTGCTCTCGGAGTGAGTCTAGTAGCTTCATGACCTGCGGCTGAGCAAGTAGCTCATCATCCATTGGAGACCAGGATACTCCTCCATCCGAACCATTGAATCGACGCTGTTGCAACTCAGATAGTAACTCGTGACCTTAAAGGATACATATAGTGACACAGTTAACTTAGATCCAAAAACAATCACAAAAACCTTTAGGAGGCCGAACTGCTTTTAGACCACCTGGTGGTACATTCTTGCAGCCAATTATCTTTTTACACATTGGGCACATTTAATGGTATCATGTCATTAACAAGTAGAACACTGTCCAGTCGGTGGGGCTGTATCCGTCAAAATAAGGCAGAAATCTTCCAGTATATTTTAGACAGAAAAAGGTACCAAGCATGCAACATTCATACTGATAACAATATTGATTAATATAAAGAAACAACTTCAAGGCATAGTTCTGAGCCTGAAACATCTGTAAGTATTTTGGTTTACTTCAAAACAGTACGCAAGCACCCAGAATGTGTCTCTAGCACAACTCATATTCTTAGATTAAATGGATGATCCAGAAGTACTAATGAATTAAGCATAGCACTTTTCTATTAGCTTATAAGATTTTATAGCAAGTACAAAACTTTTACAGAAAGTGCGGCGTTGAACCCAAAGTATTTTTACTAAAATTATTTTCTCACTTTCTCTACCTCTTTTTTTGTGTTCTGAATACCATATCTGCATGCAAACTCTGCACTGCAATAACTTTCATACATGCAAAAATAGCACAGTGTGACTATTTAGTCCTCTGTTTCAACTGCCCAAAGAATACAAGCTATTGATAAATTATGGTGAAGATTTCAGGATGTAAAAGCTGTCCTACCAGGAAGTAGCTAGGGAAGGGCTACCCAAAAGCCCTACAAACAAGTTAACAAATAAAATAGTGTATTGATCACTAAAGAACTGCTGGCATAAAAGTGAAAAGCTACAATCAGTTAGCTGTGCAGGGCTTAAAACTGTAACACAACAGCTCACTAAAAAAATTTACCACTGGAACAGTAATTATACCAACTCAAGGAAAATGCAGAAAAACAGGCTCCGAATTCAACTGGTATTATCTAGACAATCAAAACATTAAGTGCTTTTGAGATTGCAGTAAGAAACTTCAAATTACTCAGCACGTATTATCGTGAAATGGGGATGCCTTAGGAATTCAGATACATTTTGCCATACCATGGAAATAAACATCTTTGATTTCATCTTATATAATACTACCAGGCATAGATAGATAGCTGCAGGGCAAATACAGACTCTTAAAAGTTTTTTCAAGTGATAAGTTGATAATTTTGAATTTTTATTGTATTGTTCCAGCAGTAAAGAACTTCCATTTTCACAGTAAATTTTTTTTTAAACTAGGTTCTTTTGAAATTTTAACAAATACACTTTATATGTGGATTTGCAGCTTGGGAAAGCAACAGAACTTGTAACTGTTGAAGACAGAAGCCTTCTATTTAAAATCCCAGAACAAGGAGGGAAAAAAAATTTCAAGTTTTCTTTCTTTTGCCTTAGTTTGCATTTTCCATTACAGGATAGGAAAGTTTAAGTGGGGACAATTTAATCTTTGAGTTCTCAAACGCCAGTACAGTGGGTCTGACGAAGTGAAAGGTTGTTTCTTAGGAACTCCCATGACTTAATGAAAGTTCTCACATTAATAGCCCTGAAGAATTTTCATTATGTGATAATTAAGAAAATAAACAATGCATATAAACTAACATTCTTGGGAGCCACTTACTCAAAATTAAAATTGCCGTTGTGTCCAAAAATCTTACCATTAGAGGAGAACGTACAGTTAGTCTCTAAAATCTACCGACAGTGTCAGTGGATATCCAAGAAAGAGCTTTAAAGGCTGCCACAAGGAACTTCAATACTGTTTCCATTTCTAACTGCAACAATATTCTCTCCCATTTAAATACACTACGGCTTTTATGCAGAGTGCATGTAAAGCCAGCAGTTCTCTGCAGCAATTAATATACGCGATTTACATGTTAGTTTGTACAAGGCTATAAGATAATGATCCTAAACACGCCTTAGAGGCTCTGACCACCACATTAATACCATACATTACTTCCTACTCCACAAATACACAAATCTGTTAGCAAATTTCTAATCCAAATCAATGGTGGCACTATACCATAAACAATAAACTCACCCTAAAAGACATTTAAATTAAAAAAAAAAAACCAACTCAAATTGCTTAACGCTCGAGGGAGAGTCCAAGCACCCAAGAGTTAGGAGACTGTATGCTTTACTTTTACAATTAGTCTGCTCAGAACTAGGCTGACATAAACTATTAAAATTGTGGGGAGGGGAAGGGAGGGAAAATACAACCTGTATTGTAACCATTTGGTGGCTACTGAGTGGAGTTCATTCAACAGTGCCGACATACTGTCATCATCTAGAAGCAATGCATTCTCAAATTAAACCTATTAATGAGGGCAATTCTGTAAAAATGTTATTGGGATAACTAGAAACTATTCTCCCATTCACTAGCTAACATCAGGGGTTTTTTAACCCAAAGATGATATTAATTGATAACCAATTTCACAGTGTATTAAACTTAAGATAGTTATTTGTCTTCAGTGCCTTCACTTGAAGACTGGAAACAAATTATATGACTTCATTAACAAAAACTATCGTTTTTCAACTTACTGTACCTGTCTGGAGTACTGTCTCAGGATCAACTGATGGAAGAAAGTTCAAATCCACTGATCTTAGAATAAAGTAATAAACATATTATTAATCATCTGTATTACAGTAGCACTAAAGAGCTTCAGCCAAGGCCAGAGCTACCTCATGCTCTTAAGAGATAATATGCTTCTTTTCTCCACAACTCTCCTCCCCCTACGCTCCTCCAGAGAACACATTATATATAACATGACCTAAAAAGCACAGATAACTATGAATACTGCTATTTTGCACTTTAACAGAACTGAGCAACAGTGCTATCACTGTTAAAGGCTTTGTTCTTGGAACGTGGCCTGCTGGCAGGGAGAGCAACACAAGATCAAAGCCTTGCACACTGTCATATAAGGAGTTTCCAGCAAAGCCTAAGACTGAAACTTAAGTCTCCTGTATCTCAATCCAATACCTTAACTACACGGGTTCTCTGTAAATCTATAGAGGGACATACCTTTCATCAAAGACATACAAAATAACTGAAAACTCCAGCTTATCCCTTACATTCTTTTGACACATTGTGATAACTGTGCATTTTTTAACTAATGCATTTAGCTTGTTTACACAAATGCTTATTAGAAAGTTTAGTACTTGGGAGTAAATTCATCCTCTCCATCTTGATTCTAAGTATCAGGAAAAAGAATTAGTCAGGAAAGCCTGGCTTTTTCAACTTGTTGTATCAGAACAGTGTAACTGTACATAGTCAATAGCCAAATGAGCACCTGTACACAAACACACTGATGAATTTTGCTGCCCACATCATAAGTCTTTAAGATTCCTTTGGATGTTTCACAAAATATTAAAGGTCTATCATACTTGCTCAATATTGCTTTGATTTCCAAACAAATTTATATTGCATTATATTTCAACAAGTCAGCTACATACCTCTCTTTCTCTTGTTGAGTTCCCTTATCACTTCCATTGTTAATTAGAGCAAGCTCATCTAGTAACGATGTCGATTCTTTCGTGAACTTTTCAAATACCTAAACAAAAGGCATGTTTTAATTCTAAAAAAGCAAATTATATAAGTGACAGCATTGAAGACATCAGTACAAATTTATCCACTAGTTTTGTTAATACACTTCGATCTTAAAGTGCAATTGCTTCCCAACATTCAGACAGTAAGGCAGAAAGACTAGAAATAGAGTATTCTTCAGGGAACACTGTGTTTTAAGACTCCTTAGGGCTGTTAGAAATATTACCCTAAATATAATGGGGGAGGACTGAATTCTGAGAGTTCTTTAAAACTGTAAGCCATTACAGACATTTACTATCCATCTCCATACAAGCCTTTGAAGAAGGTTATTTGTTAACATATAGCATAGGTGACATGAGGCTAGTGCTACATAACTGAAAAGACGTGACAGAAGTCCCAGCTAGGGTGGAAGGTACTGTGCTTATGAATTTTCTGAATGTAGGAAGAAGAGGGTAGAAGCCAAAATTTGTATATCCTACCCAAGAAGGAAGGCTTAGGGAGATAGGAGAGGAAAGTTGGCCAATTTTCAAATTAAGGAAAAGGAGGGAGTGAACAGGGATTTCTGTATAAGCAGACTCATGATATTAAAAACCCAGGCCTCCTGCCTAAAATTCTACCTACATGGATTTCCCTTTCTTTTCCTTATTTGTCCAGACTCTCTCATCTTCAGGTAAAGAAGAAAAGCTGACTTGTCCTAGTCCTGGCACTCGTACACATCAGTCAAAGTCCAGTAGAAAAAAGCTGCACAGCAGATAACCCTCTCTCTGTCCTAAGGTCTGAGCACGTAGGGCTGCTGAGATGCAACAAAAAATGAAAAAAGGTACACACTGTATGAGCCCTCAATTTACTTGAAGTGGAAGGACTTCTGTGAGATTGGTTGCAGAGTACGTTTGAAGACTTTTGACAGTTGCAGTTGGGACTCACTGTGGAGTGCCTCATCCAGGATCCCACCTAGGGATCGTAGATGGGAATATACATTTTAAGAACATACTGCATGGCAAAGGGAAACAGGTTCACTCAAAATTTTACATTGTTTTGAAAATTCAACTTAAAGTAACTACAAAATAAATAACAATGAAGAACAGATCAAAAACATTCTGGAGTGCTATGTGCACCAACAATTGTTTGAATAATTTGTCTCTGTTAATGATTTAGGGGTGTATTTGCTCCTCCACGTACACCACAGCCCTGTATTCACAGGGAGAACTGCACTGCCAGAGGTTTCAGCATTAGGGCAGCTTAAAACCTGGCTGTCAGTCCACAGGAACCCAGGCTTAAAAAGAAAAGATCTGCAGAGCCCAAGCATTTCCTAATCGTCTTCAATTTCTCCTATCAGTAGCCAAACACTATGTTCCTTTGCAGCCACTCTACCCTATGCCCAGGCTCTTCCACAATGAGGTTCCTACACAAGAGCTTCATTAAGAAACTTGTTGGTTTCACAAATTGATTACGCTAGCTTTATCATCCCCTGACCAAATTCAGTGTTAGTTATCACGATGAGGCTATTCACGGATTTGAACTGCATATTTCTTTACTATACATACAACAAATTCTTTACATATATCAGTTCTTACACAAAGTAAAGTTCATAGTTTAAGGAATGAGACATTTGAAAGAAAACTAACCAGTCTCTTATTCAACCAATCCATGTGATCATAGGTGAGAGTTCCTCCAAAATCTTCCGTTAGTTGGCATGGTTCTATATATCGAGTCAGCTTGTTAGCAGACACTAAAATAACCTGCAACAATATAAGAAATTTTAGGTACTGTTCTAGGTAACGCTCATATTTTTCTTTAAGTACCTGATAGGTTGCGCAAAGTGTGTCCAAAGGCACTGAGCAGAAGATCTTTTATTTGATACAGAGAAAGTGACCCTCTTACTGCTAAATGTTTAAGTACAAATGGTTGCAATTAATTTGGGCTTTAAACAGACACACAGTTTTGGTATGGAACTTACATCTCATGCACAATCCTTGTAAGACTTTTATCATCTTGCCTGTTTAGATTTCTCTTAGATGTCTATCTTGATGGTAACTAATGTTTCTTCATTAAATGATTCTTCACATGACATTTTTAGTGACTACAGTTGCAGGACACAAAGCTGCAAAGCAGTTAAAAGAAGAGCTCATGCCACCATCTTGCAGTACTTCCAGTTTCAGTGCTGAGTTTGTGCCACACAAGTTAAGTGCCTGCATCTGCTGTGCAATTAAGCCTAGTAAAGAGCTGGGTCAATCATATTTCTCCCATGAGCAGTCAAATTCAAAGCTAAGTATGCTCAAAAGCTCGAGTCATTCACCCAGGAGACAATTCTGAAGAGCACCAACTAGTTCAGGAAATAAAGAAAAACACTGAGCTCCACTGCTAGTCAGAATACAAATCTCTCTTCTTAATTTCTGCTTTCTAGAGCTTCTTGGCAGAGCCTCATCCATACAAATCAAAGACCAAAGTTGGCTGCACAGGTTGCTTTGATACTGTCTGTGAAAGCAGACATTGGCACTATATAGCCAGAAAAAAAATAACTGTGATGGGAATTTTGAGAACCCATCAAACCATGCACATTCTTGCAGCAGACACCCCTGAGAAGAATCTTCTACTTCTAGTCAAGTTCCATGTTAACGAAGACACTGCAAAATAGAAACCCCATCACAAACTGACTGTGTTTCTCCTTAAGTTACTTCAATGTCTGTCTTCCACTCCTGCAGGACAGTTCCGACTACTTTAGATCACAAAATCCATTTGATGTACCAAATCATCAGTGAAATACTTTGTTTCTGAGCTGATCAAAAGCTACTCCAGTCAAAAACTGTTGGTCATCTTTAGCAACTGAAAGCAGAGGTTGTGCAGTCTCCATCTTTGGAAGTTTTTCAAGACCTGACTGAATAAAGCCTTGAATAATGCGGTCTGATTTCACAGATGATCTTGCTTTGAGCAGGAGGTTGGACTACAGATCTCCCAAGGTCCCTTCCACCCTGAACTATTCTATAATATTTCAATTTGTATTACTGAAGATTTAATTTAGAATAATTCCCAACAAATGATCTAATATTTAATGTGTACTAGTATGTGAATGTCTTCCACCAACATTCAGCCAATATAGGGGATTCTCCTCCATTCTTTTCCCATGCAACTGCATGCATAGCTGCCATAAATTAAATTAGTTTGTAGTTTCTTTAAGTAAGACTGGTAACCAGCCCAAACGCCAGATGATGCTAGGTCCAAAAAGGTGAAAAGCTTTTTTATTCTTTCTTCTTTAGGCATGTATTTATATTTTGAGGTCATTTTTACATTCTCTTTACATTCTATGTGCTTATGAAAAGGAGAAAATTAATTTACTCCAGACATGTTGATGTTGTGTACTAAAGCAATTATGGCAGCTACTTTACATCATTGAAATATCTGTTTAAAAAAAATGAAGACAAGGATGGGCCACATAGTACTATTTTACTGAAATCTTTGAAGCGGGGGAGGAGGGGCACTTCACAAACTTGTAGCAGGGAGAGATTAAAAAACCCCAAAACAAAAAACCACACACAACATTTCTTGCAAAGCAAAACATTCCTGCAACCAGAATTTATCTTGGAGCAGAAATGGAAAGCACATTAGCAATCAAAAAAACCCACGTGCACACAAAGTGCTATTTGATCAAAAAACATCAATTTCACTTGCATGGCTGCAAAAACTATTTCAACTGTTCTCTTCGTTCCTTACTTAAAGGACTTCGAGCTAGAGTTATTGATGGTTCTCTGTGATAACTGCAGAAATCTTGTCTAAGGACCTCAAAAAAAGGAAACAATCACTTGAACTGGTGAGGCAAAAGGGAGGGTCCTTACCTCTTCTTCTAAACCTAGACCAGTGACAGCACTGCTGTAACGGCCTCCATGTTTTAAATGAGTAACTTCACTATTTATAGGTGTCAAGAGTCCAATTTGTCTCTCTGAAGCTTCTGAAACACTGTTTTAATCAGCTACTACAGATAAATAGTCCATAAGACGACAGCCTGCGAGCCAAGGAAATAAAAGTTGAAAAAAAGTGCAATGGTGCAGAGGGAAGAGAGAAGACATTTCTACCTCTGAAAGATGTGAATTCCACTTCAAACTTTTCCTATCGCAGATTCCTAAAACTTCTCAAAATCCAATCACAGCAATTGCCTTTGATGTCCTGTGAGAATGAATGTCAGATTTTCACGTTCTGTAAAAGCTTTTCCTTTGTCATTCACACTGTTCCAGTTTCTTTGCACTCAAATTTCATATTCTATCACACTACTCTGCCCTTCGTGCTTCACAAAGCATTTGGTCACATGGCCTCCTCACAATCCTCAGTAGTTTAATACTTTGTTATCAGCATACTTTAATTACTTGCCATCTTTCCCTCTACTGTTATCATTAGGAAACTGCACTAGCCTACTAACCACAGAGAACATTAATTTCTCTTCCCCCTGTGAAGATAATTACATTCCCTGTAATGGTTTTCTATTGCTTGACCACCTCTCAATAATCCTAGATAAGGCACAGGTATAAATGGAGGCTATCTGCAATTATAAAAATAGAAACATCCCACTGTCTGCTTGCAACTGCAATTATTTTTTTTTAAGTCATGTTGTTATGTTGACTTAAAAATATCTTCTTAATCCAAATGAAAAGCCTTCAGACAGCAGACCAAAGGCTGGATGCTTGTTGGATGTTTAAGCTAATGAGAAGCTCAAATTTGCTAAGGGAGAAATTAATAGATCTGCACTGTAAAAGGGTCTTTCAAAGGCAAAAAAAATACCAGTTATCAAAACTAAGTCTCTGTTTCACTTCCCACTTGGCCTATCCACTTTTAGCTCTTCTGACAATAGTGATGGCTAATAAGGTGACAGTGGTTCTGGACATGTCCTGTCTGGTAGTGACAGAAGCCCTAACATCATCTGTACCAGTTCTATTTAAAAACTGGGAGAGTGGTAACAGCTCTCATCTTTGTTTTACTCTTATCAGCAAACTTGTTTTGCATAATATTGGACCACTAAATTTAAATCAACAGTGCTGTGAAAGTCTGCAAAAATAACTCAGTCTAGTGTTTTGCAAGCAAAAAAGGCATTTTTTTGAATAAAAACAAAACAACCGTTTTCAGAGTTGCCAAAAAAATTATAAAAAGAGGGAGCATGCATTAGAAAAAGTGTTGTATTGCAACTGTAAAATACACATATTTCTCTGGAGTAGAGCTATAGTTATTTTTTCTAGCTGCATGATTCTGACCAAGTCAATAGTGCCATTAACATTGATTTTTAATAATGCAACAGCTCTGACAGCGCTTGTACAAAGCTGACTTCTCTGCTCCATTTGCTGTTTTTTTTGCAGGTGATCCTCATATCATCGACCGTTTGCAATCAGATAGTGGCAGATGCCAAGAACCCCGGAACAGGATTCTGGATATTCAACAAATAAGTATACTCCTGCAAATAAGTATAAGCAGGAGTTTATTTCCCTAAAATTCTACTAAGAATCACGAAAAAGAACCTCAAAATGCTAAACAAGTCCATCTGAACTTCTTTTTTTTTTTTTTTTTTTTTCTTTTTTAGGGGGGAAGCACTTTAATACAAATGTCAGTTGCAGAATCAAAATTAGGAACTATTAGAAGACAGGCTGGTGTAAAGTCTCAATTACCAGAATTTTTTTCTTTCTTTCTTATTAAGGCTATATCAAAACCAGCCACACTACTGAGTCTAAAAAGGAGCAGTTAAGATCCAAAGAACACAGATATCACCTAAGAAAACAAAATCTAAACAAGCAAAATCAGAGTATATGTTCTTCTGAGTGGAGCAACCATCTGCATTAATCTTCACAGTTTGATATCTATGAGATACCATATTCTAATGCTGGAATAAATTAAGAACCCTAAATTATCTAAACAAGTTGGACTGTGATTTTCTACATCTATTATCAGAATAAAAAATACATTGCGGAAATAGCTACAGAAGTGCTGTTCTGAAAAATCTGGATTTTTCACCTCAGGAGTAAAGGCTTCTAAAAATCCAATTTAATTTAAAAGATTTAAAAAAAGTAGCTTCCTGTCTTAGAAAAAAAAATGTTTACTTTATTAAAAACAGACACTTTAATACAGCACTGTAAATCTAAAACCATGCTAAACTTCACAGAGCCGAAAAAAAGCTAGTCCTAACAAAGTCATTTACGAAAGTGGAGATCATTAAATACACATATCTATACTGCATATTGCTTTTTAGTCTGTTTTTTTATACTTCAAGCAACATCAACTAAAAGTATGACTGAGTTCAGAATTCTTTAGAAAGAATTCTTAAGTGTCCAATTACAAAGAATTTTAATGTGCTAGAAGTGCATTACTGATGTGTGGCATTTTCTCACTTATTGTAAATAACCCTCATGATCATGTGCTACCAGAGTAATAATAGTCATAATATCAGATACATCTTTAGCATTTAAAAAAAAAAAAAAACCTCAAGTCCATAAACAACAGAACGGATATATGAAACCCAATAGTAGCTGATAGATGTTAGGTAAACGTGATATAGAAATGCAACTAATGGCAAGATTATGGATTTGTTATTAAATATGTATAACGTTAAAGTTAGCTGTTCCAATTTGTTACATTGCACTGTGACTACAAAATGTAGCTACTTCAAGAGTATATTAAGGTATTTATTCAAAATGAACAGAACACCACTGCTCATTTACTCCTTTTAATGAACTGCTACCTCAAAATATTTAATATTTTTCATTTAATT